ATCGAACCTATCCTCTCACGGATCGATTCCCGATCCGCGATTCATCGATCCCTGCAAGAAATCTCGTCCAAACAACACGAAATCCACCAAACAATACAAACAATCGCATTCCATCTAATCCTTTACCCATATAAGCATATGGTCATGCACTCACCTTGGTTCTGGAAAGAAAAGAATGGAGAACAGCAAAGAACACGAAGAACGAGCGAACCCTAATCGTCCAGCCTCTGATTTCTCACTCCCAAACCCGAAATCAGCCCAACACGATCCTCTCTCCCTCTCACAGCCTCACAATCACCAACACAAGCCTATAAGATCGAGAACACAAAGGAAATCAACGATAATCCCTTCTCCTCTCAATCCTCTCTCTTTCACTCTGATTTTGATCCGTTTTCTGCCAAAAAAACGCGACCACAATCTATTCTTCGAATTTTATAGTCGAATCCTAGGGCTTCGTAAACCGAACGTTCGAACCGAGCAATTGAAACCGAACATGTCGGTCCAATTGAAACAGGTTCTGTGTGTCGATCAACACAACACCCAGAACACGACTTCTCATAAGTCCAAAACACGTGCGTCGATCGACACACACCTTGTGTCGATCGACGCACCACCAAAAATCTACTTTTTGGTTCACGGGCGTTACAACAAATGCATAGTTTACACACAAAAAGGAGTAAAAACATAATTTCCAAGAATTCCAGTAAATAAATTATTTACGGTCGTTCATATTTCATGCATATCTTTTTATTTTTTTGAAACATTGATATTGCATGCATGTCTGCTTGTCATCATCTTTCTCTTGGAAACATCATGTAAATTATAGGGGGTACTTTTTTAATATAATGGAAAGAAAAAAAGACAGACTGACGCGTACTCTTAGCTGATAGTCGTCTCTTGAGACTGGTCCTGCTTTGTGCTTCTTTAGTCAATAAATTTCTATTTGAGGTTAGTTAGCATGACATGGAATATCATTAATTCGGTTGGAGGTTTCCAAATTAGGAAATGCAACTAAAAAAGAATAACTTGCTACTCACTTTTTTGACCACTTTTAGTTACCCCTGGCCCTAGATCATCCCTCTGCTTGTAATTATGGACTATGGCTTCTCTCCTCGTAGTTTCCTCCCTTCACGAGTTCGCGTCACCATCCAACAAAGTATCTTCCTTTGCTTCCTCGTCAAAGTCAAGCTTTGTGTTTGTGTCGATTAGTCTACGGTTCTTACGTGGGTAATGAGATTTTGTATTTGTGTAAATCTACATGGGCTTGATGAAGTAGATTGGGTTTTGGTGAGGTAGTACATAAATCATAATAATGCATTCAATTGATGATGAGTCGCGTGG